AGTCTGGGGCTTGAACCACAGTTATTCATGTGGGAGTACAGCACCTTAACCACCATGCCACCTGCTGGCTTCATGGCCTTCTACTCTTAATACACCCTTATTGAGAAATTAACTTTATGGAGTTCTTTGCTGCATTTTCTCATCTTAAAGCAGCTATAGGTTTTATCTTTCAAAGAAAAATGTGTACATTCAACTTAGGAACGAATAGAATTAGAAGTTAAAAATACAAATGCTTAGGACAAGCAGTTGGCATAATGGCTATGTTGCTGGACTCCCATGTAGTAGACCATGGTTCAAGTCCTGGACCCGGTGGCTTAAACTCATGTCGTGTGTGTGTGTGTGTGTGTGTGTGTGTGTGTGTGCGCCCAAGATCCCAAGAGGAGAAGGGATTGAGGAGTGGCCACCCCCCCTGGGGGGTGATTTCTCGCGTTCTATCTCTCTGTCTCTCTCTGTCTTTCTGGCAAGTGTCTGTCTCTCTCTGTCTTTTTGGCAAGGACATGTGCTCTATAGCAAAACCCTCTCCAAAAAAATACAAATGCTTTATTAAGAATGGTGGCCAGGGGCCGGCAGGTGGCATGGAGGCTGAGGTGCTGGACTCCCACATGGCTGACTACGGTTTGAGTCCTGGACCTGGTGGCTTGCTTTCTCACTTTCCCTCTCTCTCCCCTTCCCCGTTTCTCTCTGGTCAAATTAAAATAAATCAATGAATAAATTATTCTAAAAATATTTTTAAAATAATAAAAGAAAAAAGAATGGTGGCCAGGGGCCAGCAGGTGATAATGAAGGTTAAGGTGGCTGGCTCTCACATGGCCAATTGTCCTTTTTTTTTTGGAGAGGTTTTTGCTATAGGGTGCGTGCACTTGCCAGCAGAAAGACAGAGAGAGAGACATAGAGACAGAAAGCAAGAAATCACCCCCCAGGGGGGATGGTCATGCCGCAATCCCTTTTCCATTCTCCTCTCGGGATCTTGGGCATGCCCGCACACGCGCCCGGCGTGAGTTTTAAGCCACCGAGTCCAGGACGCGCACCGCGGTTGACTATGTGGGAGTCCAGCAACATAGCCATTATGCTAACTGCTGGTTCCCGTCAATTGTCCTTTTAAATTCTGGGCCTGGCTGCTTGAAAATCATACTGAATGCATATGTGTGCTTGTCCAAAATCCTGAGAGAAGGGAACAGTTTTGAAACAATGGTTCCTTTACATTGTTCTTAAACCCCTGAGACTCAGGGAGATCAGAATTCTTAAAAATGCTAATGACGTTTACCTTTGTAAACCAGCTGGCAGCACAGTAGTAAAGGTGTATCCCACATGGTGTGACTTGGAAAATCAATGGGCAGTGATTTTCACTTTCCCTCTCTCTGTCTTTCTCTGGCAAGTGCATTCACTCTGTGGCAAATATCTAATTAAAAAAATAATAAAAATAAGAAACAAAAACTTTCATCAAACAAGACCTTTCTTTCCATCCCATTCTTTCCCATTGGCTGTCCCATTCTGTTCCCATACAGATAGATTTTCTTAAATACCTGAAGAATTTTCAGGTCCCCCCAAATCTCTTTATTCAAGCCCCTCCCTAAAAAGGATTCAAAGTGGTGAAGTTTCTTTTTTTCAAATCTTTGGTAATATTTTAATTTGGTAATTATAGTTTTGCATTATCCTTAAATTATGTGAATATGAGTATGGATGGATATATATCTAACTATTAAGAGGCCTTGGATTAAAGAAGGGAAGAGATACTTTCTTATTATAGCTGTATTATTGGATTTGATTTATAGATATTTCATATTGAGTAAAGAAAAAATTAGAACAGTTTGAGGCAATATTCTAGGCATGTGGACCATATTAGCGTAGTGTCTGGCTTTCATGCTTCTCTTTAGGGACGAGTACTTAAGGTACAGTGGCTTTTTGCAGACTGTCATATATAAGGTATGCTAAGCTTATGTGAACTGTAAGGTGTTTGTGATATTTCAAAATAACCTACATGGTGGGTATGTGTTCTTTGTTTTCTAGTGAGTTATTCTCCCCATCTCAGAAGTACCAGCTTTTGGTGTATCATGCAGACTCTCTTTTTCATGATAAGGAATATCGAAATGCTGTGAGTAAGTACACTATGGCTTTACAGCAGAAGAAAGCCCTAAGTAAAACTTCAAAAGTGAGACCTTCAACTGGAAATTCAGCATCTACTCCACAAAGTCAGGTAATTGGAAATAGAATTGTGATTCTTTTGTTTGTTTAAATAATTATTTTATTGAACTTTATTTTATTTATTTATTTTATTTGATGAGAGAAAGAAAGTGAGAAAGCAAGCTGCCAGGTCCAGGTCTCGAACCTCAGTTGGCAACGTGGGAGTTCAGCACCCTTAGTCACCATGCCACCTGCCAACCCCAGAATTGTGATTGTTTTTTTCTGAGAGAGAGAGAGAGAGAGGCTGAATTTAGAAGGCAACTGAACTGAGATAGAAGGTAGTAAAATAAAAAATTTTAAAGGGAGCTGGAGCTAGAAAAAGAAAGATGAAAAACTTCTTAGATACAAGAACGTATGCAGTCAGTCATTGAAAGCTAAGAGCATGGGGCCAGTAGATGGTGTAGTGGTTACATCACTGGACTTTTCCATGACAGACTGCGGCTTGAATCCTGGACCTGGTGGCTTGAAAGTCACACTGGGTGTGCACATATGCATGCATGCCTAAGATCACAGGAGAAGAATGGAGGAGAAAGGATTGTGGTATGGCCATCCCCCCTGGGGAGTGATCTCTCACTTTCCCTCCCACTGTCTCTGTCTCTCCCCACCTGCCCACTCCCTTACCCCGCAGGTGCACGCGCAGCAGAAAGAAAAGCTAAAGGGAATCAGCAGTTAGCGTAATGGCTATGTCGCTGGACTCCCACATAGTTGACCGCGGTTTGCGTCCCGGACCTGGTGGCTTAAAACTCACGCCGGGCGCATGTGTGTGCGTGCTCAAGATCCTGAGAGGAGAATGGAGGAGAAGGGATTGCAGCGTAACCATCCCCTGGGGGGGGGGGTGATTTCTCGCTTTCTGTCTCTATGTCTCTCTTTGTCTGTCTGGCATGCGCACGCACCCTATAGCGAAAAAACCTCTCCAAAAAAAAAAGAAAAGCTAAGAGCAAAATTTACTTGGTTGATAAATCTAAAAATTAAATTAGATGAAGTCACACTTTATTCCTCTCTTAAACAAACAACTCAAAATGTGTTTATAATTTTAATGAAAGTACAGCTTTTGAAATGTCATTTAGGGCCAGTAGGTGGTTCGGTGGTTAAAGTACTGTATCTCACACGTCCCATTGTGTAATTTGAATCCTGCACCCAGCAGCTTGAAAATCACACTGGGTGCATGTGTGTGTATGCTTAAAACCCTGAGAAGAGAATAGAAGAGAAAGGATTGTGATGTGGCCATTCTCTCCCCCACTCCTAGAGTGATTTCTCACTTTCCCTTTCTCTTTCTGGTGAACGTACATGCCCTATGGCAAAAATCTTCAAAAAAAACCCAAGCAAACAAACAAACAAAAAAAACCTGTTACTCAGTTGTTAGGACTGTCAGTACCTGGGGAAATTTATAGAAAATAATTTTTAAAAAATTATTTACTGCTATTATTATTTTACAATTTGACCAGAGACAGACAGACAGAGAGAGAGAGAACAGGAAAGTGTGAAAGCAAGCTGCCAGGTCCAGGACTCGAACCAGTCAGCTCTACTCTTGACTTTTAATGACTGATTGCATACATTCTTGTATCTAAGAAGTTTTTCATCTTTTTTCTTTCTCTAGCTCCAGCTCCCTTTAAAATTATTTTTTTATTTTGCTACCTTCTATTTCAGTTCAGTTGCCTTCTAAATTCTTTATTTCTCTGTCTTTCAGAATCCAGCATCTTTAACCACCATGCCACCTGCTGGCTCATATAGAAAATAATTTAAGAATTCCCGGTGGGGCAACCAGCAGGTGGTGTGGTGGTTAAGGCACTGGACACTCCCACATGGCCGACCAGAGTTTGAGTCCCGAATCTGGTGGCTTGCTTTCCCACTTCCTTTCTCTATCACTCTCACCCTCTGTCTCTCTCTGGTCAAATTAAGAAATAAATTAATGAATGAATAAATAAAATAAATAATTATTTAAATAAAATAATTCCCGTTTGGGCCAGCAGTTGGCATGAAGTTTAAGATCCTGGACTCCCACATAACTAACCACAGTTTGAGTCCCAGACCTGGCAGTTTGCTTTCTCAGTTTTTTTCTCTCTCTCTCTGGTGAGCACACATGTCCTATAACAAAACTTAATAGCAGTAATGATAATATTAGTAATAAGTAATTAAAAGAGTTCATAGCAATTTTTGTTGCTTAATAGTTAAATAAATGAAGGGATAGAATTTTAATGTTCTCACTATTAGACTTAGGATCCATTTTTAGCAATGGAATGACTAATATGGACCAGCCCTATGGCCTAAGGGAGCCAGATCCCACATAGCCAACCATGTAGTTCACAACCCAGACCTAGTGGCTTGAGAAACATGCCAGGTGCGTGTGCATATGTGCCTCAATTCATATAGGACAGAGAAGGAATTGTGACACGACCATGCCCCATTGGAAGGTCCTTTCTTTCCTTTCTCTTTGTGTCACTAGCTCTCTCAAGTATATGTGCCCTCCAGCAAAAATTAAAAAAAAATTTTAAAAACCTTAATGGTAGAACTCAAAAAAAGGTTTTCAGGGCATGTAACTAAGACTGTTCACTGCAGTATGTATGTAGTTAGTAAGAATGTATGTCAAAAGGATCTGTTTAAATTGCAGTATAGAGTATAATGGAACTGTTAAATGAAAAATGAGATAAAGATTTATGTGTTGGTTTGAAAGGAACACCTATAGATTTTAATAAAGAAACTAATGTTTGAACCACTGTGTTCAGTACTCTTTTTGTTAAAAGGGGATTGTTTATAGATGCATAAATATGTCCTGGTATAAATTATGTAAGTCCAGCACTTTAACTACCATGCTACCTACTGACCCCAGAACTTACCCTTTGAACATGTACAATTCACTGGGGTTTAATATGTTTACAAGGTTGTGTAACCACCAGTGTTGTTGTTTTTAAATTATTTTATTTTATTTATTCATTCATTTATTTTAATTTGACCAGGGAGAGAAAGAGAGAAAAAGTGAGAAAGCAAGCCACCAGGTCCGGGACGTAAACCGTGTGGTCAGCCATGTGGGAGTGTCCAGTGCCTTAACCACAATGCCACCTGCTAGTCCCCCACCAGTCCTGTTTTAATTCCAGAACATTTTTATCACCCTGGAGAGAAACTCTTTGCCTGTTAGCAATTACTCTGCATTCCCACCCTTCTCAGCCCCTGGCAACCACTAATTTTCTGTCTCTGTACTTACCTATTCTGGACATTACATACTAATGGAATATGAATGGAATCATATAATATGTGGTTTTTTGCATCTGGCTTTTTCAGTTTTTTTAGTTTTGCTATAGAGTGCATGTACTCACCATAGAGCGACAGAGAGAGAGAAAGAAATGCAGAGAAAGGGAAAGTAAGAAATCATCCCCTGGAGGCATAGCCATTCTATAATCCTGTCTCCTCCAGTCTCCTCTTAGGATTTTGAGCACACATACATACATGCCCTGCATGATTTTCAAGCTGCCGGGTCCGGACTCCAGCCGTGCAACCATGTGGGATTCAGCACCTTGATCTCCATGTCACCTGCTGGCCCATCATCTGACTTATTTTTGCTTAGAGTAATATTTTCAGGATTGAGCTGTGTGATAGCATGACTCAGTTCTTAATTATTTATTGTCAAGTAATATCCCATTGCATTAGTTGATGGACATTTTGTTGTATCTACCTTTTGCTCATGAATAGTGTTACTATCAACACTTCTATGCAGGTTATTGTAAATTTATGTTTCAGTTTCTTGGCTCTATACCTAGAAACAGAGTTGCTGAGTCCTGTGATAATTATGATTAACACTTTGAAGAACCACCATACTGTTGAAATAATATTTTGCAGAGATGTTTTCATTGTCTCTTAGTGTCTTCCATCTGAAATTGAAGTGAAGTACAAGATGGCTGAGTGTTATACAATGCTAAAACAAGATAAAGATGCCATTGCTATACTCGATGGGATCCCTTCAAGACAAAGAACCCCTAAAGTAAGTTGAATGAACAGTTTGTTACATATCTTTTTCCTCTCCAGCCCTTCCAACCCAGCTTCTTCTGTGTTTTCTCTGTGTATTAGGAAGTCCAACTGGACATTTTACTTGTGACTCTAATTCTTTCTTTCTTCCCCTGTTCAGAAGGGTTCAGAGAGATAGATGAGTGATTTTTCTTAAGAGATCCTGAATCAGCTGTAGAAATGACAACTAAAAAATAACTAGGAGTGTTGGGAACCAGCAGTTAGCTTAATGGCTATGTCGCTGGACTCCCACGTAGTCGACCGCAGTTCACGTCCTGGACCCGGTGGCTTAAACCTCACGCCGGGCACGTGTGCGTGCGTGCCCAAGATCCCGAGAGGAGAATGGAGGAGGAGGAGGGATTGCGGCATGTCCATCCCATCCCCCCCTGGGGGTGATTTCTCGCTTTCTGTCTCTATGTCTCTGTCTGTCTGTCTGGCGAGCGCACGCGCCCTACAGTGAAAAATCTCTCAAAAAAAAAAAAAAAAAAAACTAGGAGTGTTTATCTTTGATATTTATTCTGTAGGAGAAAAAGATTTACAAAACACTTGCAGGTGGCAAAACACTTTTGTTTTGGAGAGAGATTTTTGCTATATGGCATGTATGTTCGCCAGAGAGACAGAAAGCAAGAAATCACCTCCCAGGAAGGATGGCCATGCCACAGTCCCTACTCCATTCTCCTCTTGGGATCCTAGGGACAATGCACATGTGCCCGGTGTGAGGTTCACATCCAGGACTTGAACTGTGATTGACTATGTGGGAGTCCAATGATGTAACTATTACACCATCTGCTGGTCCTGCAAAACACTTTTTTAGAACTAACAGCATTTTTTTTTTTTTTTTTGGGAGATTTTTGTTATAGGGCATGTGCACAGAGAGACAGAGAGATAGAAAGCGAGAAATCACTCCCCAGGGGGATGGCCACACCACAATCCCGCAATCCCTTCTCCATTCTCCTCTCAGGATCTTGGGCATGAGTTTAAGCCATCGGATCCGGGACTCGAACTGCAGTCCACTACATGAGAGTCCAGTGATATAGCCATTACACCATCTGCTGGTCCCCTAACAACATTTTTTTTTTAAGACAATCACATTGTGATCCTCCCATCTCAGTCTCCCAGTTAGGACTGGGCGTACATTATCTTACCTAGCCCGTTTTTAGTTTTTCAGACAGAGCTGTGCTTTGTGACTGAGTCTAGCCTTGAGCTTATGATCCTCGTGCCACAGTCTCCTCAAGTGTCTAGGATTAAAGTGCGTGCTGTATGCTGGACCTTTAGGTTGGACGAGAAATCAAGTCTAACCCTTCCCTGTGGTCCCAGCCTGCAGAGCACAGTGTCTTAGCAGCATGCACAACGGGGGCCTGGAACATCATTTATTGGATTCTGCTGGTGTACCCATTTTCAAAATCACTGTGGTATCCTCTTCTACTTTTTTATATGTGGCATGTGTATTTACATTTGATTTGACAAAACGTTTAGTGAAGATGGACCAGCAGATGGCATAATGGTTACGTGGCTGGACTCCCACATGTTTGAGTCCTGAACTCAGCAGCTTGAAACTCACGCTGGGCACGTGTGCATGCATGCCCAAAATCCCGAGAGGAGAATGAAGGAGTAGGGATTGCGCATGACCATCTCCCTGAGGGGTGAGTTCTCGCTTTCTATTCCTGTCCTGGTGAGCGCACACACCCTATGGCAAAAATCTCTCTTAAAAAAAAAATAGCAAATTTAATTCATATCAGTATTTTTTTTTTATTTTACCAGAGGATGCTTGTACTCAGTAAGAAAGAGAGGAAGAGTTAGAAAGCACTTCTTTTTTTTTGAGAGGTTTTCACTATAAGGCGTGTGCTCGCCAGAAAGACAGAGACAGAAAGTGAGAAATCACCCCCCAGGGGAGATGGCCCCGGTGCAATCCCTTCTCCTCCTTTCTCCTCTTGGGATCTTGGGCACGCACACACATGCATCCGGTGTGAGTTTAAGCCACCAGATCCGGGACTCACACCGCGCCTGACCGACTACATGGTAGTTCAGCTACATAGCCATTATGCTAACTGCTGGTTCCAAGAAAGCACTTCTTGGGGAATGGTTAAATTGCAGTTCCTTCTTCCCCATTCCTTTTTCCCTTCAGGATTCTGGGTGCACATGCAACTAGCATGGTTCCCAGGCCACCAGGTCTGGGACTTCACACCATTGGCTCTGTGGGACCCAGCCACCTTAACCACCATATCACAGGCTGACTCATAGTCAGTATTTTATTCTAACTTGTACTACCATGTCACCCTCCCTCCTCACTTCATTGAAAAACTACTCTATGGGGCTGGCAGGTTGCATGGTGAAGGCACTAGACTCCCAGATGGCCAACTATGGTTCATGTCCCAGATTTGGTGGCTTGCTTTCTCACTTTCTCTCTCTCTGGCAAGCACATGTGCCTTGTAGCAAATTAAATGTAATAATAATAAATAATTATCTTAAGAAAAGAAAAAACTATTCTATGCAAATTATTCTGTTTTGGGGACGAGATTTTTGCTATAGGGTGTGTGCTCTCGTTGGAGAAACAGAGACAGACCAGACAGAAGGCACTAAATCACTGCCGTGATGCAGTGCCTTCTCCATCCTCCTTGCAGGATCTTGGGCGGGCATCATACATGCCCACTGTGAGTTTTAAGCCACTAGGTCCAGGTCTCAAACTGTAATCGATTCCATGAGAGTCCAATGATGTAAGCATTATGCCATCTGTTGATCCGAATGTAAATTATTCTTAACAATCAGAAATATATGTAAAGATGTCTGTGTACATATCTAAACAGCATGGGACCTGGTGTATTTTAGTAGTGCTGCTTCATTCAGGTGTTGGTGAATTTAAAAAGTAACCAGACTTAATGAGAAGATGTTTAAGTGCCTTTTCATACTAAGGAATTATTTTGTATTTTCTGAAATTTTGAAACTAAGGTATTTCTTGAGTATATTTTATGAAAGCACTTGGAAGCATAGTATTGTCTAATCTGTCTCATAAACTTGGATGCTGTGTACTAATTTGTATTCTGGTAACCCATGAAAGTCTTCTCTTAACCCAAGAATGTTTTTGCATATATGAAGAATGTCTGCTGCTATATGCAATGAGTCTTCTTTTTGGAAGAAGCCATTTTAATTATAAACTTAAGATGAATCTGTTCCTTATCTTTAGAAATGTACGTAACTTCCTCCTCGATGACTTGTGGGTGTTTGGGGGACATTTTTAGAAAATGAGTAATGGCAGAACACAGCTTTGTGGTATCCAGTGCTTGGTGTTTACATTATTCTAGGAGGGATTCTGTAGAGCTCTTGTACCCAGGAGCAAAGGTGTGTACCTCAAGCATGAACCTGGAATGTTTATAGTTTTTCTTTCTTGTCTGTTAGAGAGTTAACTGGCTGACCATGGTTTGAGTCCCAAACCTGGTGGCTTCAAAATCACGCCTGGTACGTGTGTGTGTGTGTGCCCAAGATCCTGGGAGGAGAATGGAAGAGAAGGGATTACAGCATGGCCATCCCCCCTGGGTGGTGATTTCTCACTTTCTCACGATCTCTTGTTAGTTTATCCAGCAAGCACACATTCCCTAAGGAACTGCTTTTAAAAAAAAAAATCGGGGCCAGCAGGTGGTGTGGTGGTTAAGGGCGATGGATTCCCACATGACCAACTGTGGTTCAAGTCCCAGACCTGGCAGATTGCTTTCTAACTTTCCTTCTCTCTCTCTCTCTCTCTCTCTCTGCCTCTCTGCCTCTCTGCCTCTCTGCCTCTCTGCCTCTCTTGCTCACTCTCACTCTGTCCCTCTCTCGTCAAATTAAAATAAAGTTCAATAAAGTAATTCTTTAAAAGAATCAAGGTAACTAGAATTTTTTTTTTTTTTTGGAGAGGTTTTTGCTATAGGGCGCATGTGCTCGCCAGAAAGAGAGAGACAGAGAGATAGAAAGAGAGAAATCACCCCCCAGGGGGGATGGCCATGCTACAATCTCTTCTCCTCCATTCTCCTCTCAGGATCTTGGGCACGCACGCACACGCGCCTGGCGTGAGTTTTAAGCCACCAGGTCTGGGACTCAAACCGCGATCAGCTACATGGAAGTTTGGCGACATAGCCATTACGCTAATTGTTGGTCCCAAGGTAACTAGAATTCTGTGACAGTTCTTAAATGGATGTACTTTCCATTCCAGAGGCAGCATCTTTGGGTCACACATTATTGAAACTTATAGTTAGGTAAGTGAGAGGGTGATAGGACTTTCCTCTTATGGCTGGGAAGATCTAGCAAAGGGTAGTGATTTCTCTGTTTTAAAGAAAGGGGTTGGTCTTCCTTTATTTGTACAGGGATGTAGATAGATTTGTAAAAAGTAGAATAGGATGGGAAGATCTAGCAAAGGGTAGTGATTTCTCTGTTTTAAAGAAAGGGGTTGGTCTTTATTTGTACAGGGCTGTAGATAGATTTGTAAAAAGTAGAATAGTAACTGGTCATAAAAATCAAGACCTTTTTGCGATGAGATACTTTCTTTGCCATATATACTTATCTTACTGGTTTTTATTTTTATTAATACAGATAAACATGATGCTGGCAAACTTGTACAAGAAAGCTGGTCAGGAGCGCCCTTCAGTCACCAGCTATAAGGAAGTGCTGAGGCAGTGCCCATTAGCCCTTGATGCCATTCTAGGTATCGGTCATTTTCTGCCTATCTTCACAGCATGTACTGTCAAACACAGTCCTTCCCAATACTAGCTATATGGTTAAAAAAAAAACAATTTTTTTTTAGGTTTCCTTCAGAGCATGATTCAGTTCTATTACCATTGTCACATATTCAATTAAGAAATACTGAAATACGATCTTGCCATCATATGCATCTTGCTTAAAATAGGGGAGTAGTTGCCTTGCAGCTCAGCTGAAGTGCTGTTGCTTCTCGCATTGTGGAGGAGTGATGCAGTTCTTCACTTTCTTCTTTCTACTTTCCTTTGCACTAGGTTTGCTGTCCCTTTCTGTGAAAGGAGCAGAGGTGGCATCGATGACAATGAATGTGATCCAGACAGTGCCTAACTTGGACTGGCTCTCTGTGTGGATCAAAGCATATGCTTTTGTACACACTGGTGACAACTCCAGAGCAATCAACACTATCTGGTGAGAGGCACAAAGTTAATTCTTGAGGCCCTTTCCTCTTCTGGAGGTCTGGTGTTAGCAAATTAGCAAAACAAAAATGAAGTATTTCTCTTGGTGTTGCAGCTGGTCGTCTCTGGGATGTGTTCGTCTTTCAGTATTTTGAATAGTCCCAAGTGTAATCATCTCTGTTGAGGACATGTAAACATGTAACCCTGGGCTGCGTTCAGCCTTGTAGGGGCAAAGGTAGTAACCCTTGCAAAGTAGACCGCCTTGGCATGTCATGCTTGATCCCAGAAGAGAATGTTTTCAGATTCCCAGAAGCACTGTTTATTGCAATATCTGACCTTAGTTGCCTCCTGAGGACCAGGATTCTCTTTATATTCAAGTAAAGTCCAAGGATAAGAGGGTGGGGTTTGTGTTACAGAAAGTTATCCAGTTAAGTAATAAGTTGCTGTCATTTGTGAATGGCATTACTTTTAACGCTAGCATATACTGTCCTTTGAAAAACTGCAGCCAGAAAATTCTTTGTAGATAACTGAGCAATTTCTGCCTTGGTCTGTATATTTATTATTCTGTTCATATAGAATTAAATCATGATAACCTCAGAATAAAAAAAATCTAATGTACACAGTTCATTTTTTTTAAGTTTTTTTATTATAAAAATGTTCATATACAAAAGAAAATTGTATCTATATGCCTGTAACCCAGATTTAATAACCTTGAGATTTTTCATAGATTTTAAAGTTCAATGTTTATAATGTCTTGAAGTTCACTAGAGAAAAAGTCCTTGTTGCGAGATAATGTGGATCTACTGGGAAGCTTAGCAGATCTGTACTTCAGAGCTGGAGACAATAAAAACTCTGTCCTCAAGTTTGAGCAGGCACAGATGTTGGATCCTTATCTGATAAAAGGTAAGTAATTCTCGGGCAGGTGAAGGCAGCTGTAGAGAGGCAGATCAGAGAAGATAGGGAGAAAATGCAGCCTAAACTCTTGATACCATCTTTTACAGAAATATTTTATAAAAGTTATTATGATAGTCCTTTCCCTTTTTTTCTTTTTTTTTTTTTTTAGGTTCTGATACATATCTCTAACACTTAGGTAATTCCATTTGAGCAGTTGTTTTGCTTAAATTCAAGCATCATCTCCCCACAGATCATTATTTGACTTTTTTTTTTCTTTCTTGGTGGAGGGTGGTGGTCATGGCCCCTCATGATTTATAAATTTATTTATGATGTGACCGACTGAGAATTTGGATGGCAGCCCTAGGACCATAATGTCCTTTTAGGGAATTTTACTGTGTCCTTAGTGTAATTAAAAGGGAGTAAGTGAACAGATTAAGAAAGGGATAAAGTGATTAAAGGCAGTAATTAGTGAACAGAACAGTAATTAGTGATTAGAAAAATCATTGATCTGAAAGGAGATTGTACCTGAAGGGGTAAGCCACAGGGACTTCAGAGGATGGCTTATTGGGTGACTGGCAGTGAGGAAAGTAAGTACTCAGGAGTGTTAGGAAATGGGACCGGATAAGCTGCAGTACTTTAGTAAAGACCCAAAAAAGGTCATCAGAAAAAATATGGCCTTGTAGCAATAAACAATCTTTTTTGTTTTTCCCCTTAATTATCACAGTGCATGGACACTCAGCTGAGGGAGACATAGTGAGGGAAAAGGAGAAAGCACACCTCGGTGGGACTTGGCCTCACTGCCATTTTGTCTACCACCTGTTGGTCCTGTTGTTATGTTGGGCATACATGCACATGCTTCCAATCATGCCTGGGTTGGGACTAGGACTCGAACCATAGTTGGCTGTGTGGAATCCAGCTGCCTTACCCACTAGGCCATGGGCAGCCCACAAATAGTCTTTTTTTTTTTTTTTTTAATAATTATTTTATTTAGGGAACCAGCAGTTAGCGTAATGGCTATGTCGCTGGACTTCCACGTAGTCGACTGTGGTTCGTGTCCCTGACCCAGTGGCTTAAAACTCACGCCAGGCGCATGTGCATGCATGCCCAAGATTCTGAGAGGAGAATGGAGGAGAAGGGATTGCAGCTTGACCATCTCCCCTGGCAGGTGATTTCTCGCTTTCTGTCTCTATGTCTCTCTCTGGCGAGCGCACGCACCCTATAGCGGAAAAAAAAAATCTCTCCAAAAGAGAGTTAAAAATTTTTTTTAAAAGATAAAAAAAAAAAAAAAGAATTATTTTATTTATTGGGGACCAGCAGGTGGAGTGGTGGTTAAGGGGCTGGACACTCCCACATGGCTGACTGTGTTTCGAGTCCTGGACCTGGTGGATTGCGCTCGCTTGCTCGCGCACGCTCTCTCTCTCTCTCTCTCTTTGTCTCTCTGGTCAAATTGAAATAAATAAATGAGTAAATTAAAAAAAAAAGAATTATTTTATTTATTTATTTTAATTTGACCAGAAGGAGACAGTGAGAGAAAAAGTGAGAGGGACAGTAAGAATGCAAGCCACCAGGTCTGGGACTTGAGCCAGATAACCACGGTCTGCCATATGGGAGTCCAGCACCCTAGCCACTACTCCACTTTTTAGCCTCCACAAATGTCTTAACCAAAGGGAAGAGCAGCGAATGCATCTTCACAAGCATGCTGGTGAGGAAACTGGTCTGAAAGGACGAGTTTGTTTGCACAAGATCTTCCTGCTGCTGAATGCCTGTGCCTGTTGTCCAAACTGCTCACACCTTGGTGAAAATGTACTTTTTTATATATACATTTTATTTATTCATTCATTTTAATTTGGCAAGAGAGAGAAAGAAAGCAAGCCACCAGGTCTAGGTTTTGAACCATGGTCGGCCATGTGGGAGTGTCCAGCTCCTTAGCCACCATGCCACCTGCTGGTTCTGAAAATGGCCTTTTAGGAATACTAGTCTGGGGCTAGCCAGTGGCGTGGTGGTTTAAGGTGGCTTGATCTCTTATGACCAACTGTGCAATTTGAGTCCTGGACATGGTGGCTTGGAAAACATGTCGAGTGCTGTGTATGTTTGCTCAGTGCCCCAGAATGAGGAGTGGAGAAGGGGTTGCCGCGTGACTGTCCCTGTGGAGGATGTGTTCTCACCCCCACCTCACCCCCATCTCTCCCTGTGAGTGCATACACCTTCTAGCAAGTCAAAGAAAGGGCTGGTGGATGGCGTGGTGGTTAAGGTGCTGGATCCCCACATGGCCGACTGCAGTTTGAGTCCCAGACCTGGTGGCTTGGTTTCTTACTTTCTCTTTTTTTTCTCTCTCTCTCTCCTTGGTCAAATTTTAAAAATAATAATAATAAATAAAATAATTTTTAAAAAAGAGAGAGAAAAGAAACACTAGTATGGCAGCTTGGAGTCAGAAGCTCAGACCCAAGTCCAGGAGTCAGCAGGGGTGTTTTAGTAGCCTTGACTTGAGAGAAATTTTCTCGGGAATCTGGACAGTGAGCAAGTATTGTAGGAGAGTGGTGGCAGGAGACGGGTCGATTACAAGCACGGAGCGCACGGCCTTTGTGTAGAAATAAAGCGAGGCTGAGGGAGGGATAAGGGAAGGCAGTGATCTTTAATGTACTACATTCCAGAAAGAACTACATGTTTTTTCTGGAAGGCCACCTCTTTTTTTTTTTTTTTTTTTTTTTTTTTGAGAGATTTTCACTGTAGGGCGCCTGCGCTCGCCAGACAGACAGAGAGAGACATAGAGACAGAAAGCGAGAAATCACACCCCGGGGGGGATGGTCACGCCGCAATCCCTTCTCCTCCATTCTCCTCTCGGGATCTTGGGCACGCACGCACATGCGCCTGGCGTGAGTTTTAAGCCACCGGGTCCGGGACATGAACCGCGGTCGACTACGTGGGAGTCCAGCGACATAGCCATTACGCTAACTGCTGGTTCCCAAAGGCCACCTCTTTTTTGAGACTAAGTGGCTTTTTCAGCCTAGTAAGTGTATACTCCCGACTGCCTGGAGTGCTTGAAAGAGAAAACGTACATGATGCCTTTTTTAGGTCCTTTTCTGGGTGTGAGTTAGGATGGCTGTATATCATGCCACAGGATATGGGGACAGACAATTTCTGAGAGTAACAGGCTTTTAAATGGTAAGGTAGGTCCTTCTGCTCATGTGCTTTTTTTCTTTTCTTTTTTTTTTTTTTTAACTTCTCCCTTCAGAGGGTGGGTTTTGCTTTTTAATAGTCATCTCGTAGGACACTGGAAGAATTGGTGGGAAAAGCCCATGGTGGTGGAATAGTGGCAGAGCCTGGACTTGGGATCTGGTGTTGGGTGCTCTTCGTCTGTAACAGACCCCTTCTTTATTTAAAGAGCCTATTCTCACTGGGTCCTGTCTTACAGGAATGGATGTGTATGGCTATCTCCTGGCACGAGAAGGGCGGCTGGAGGATGTGGAAAACCTTGGCTGCCGCCTTTTCAACATTTCTGATCAGCATGCAGAACCCTGGGTAGTCTCTGGGTATGTTCACGTGTTTCCTTTTCTCCCCAGCTTTCTATAGATTCTATAGGAGAGTTTGATCCCTCCAGAGAGAATATACAGTGAAAGCACAGGTTTACAAGTTAATCAGGGGGCCAAGTGGATGGCACAATGGTTATATCGCTGGACTCCCATGTAGTCAACTGTTGTCCGAGTCCCAGACCTGGTAGTTTTAAACTCATGCCAGGTGTGGGACTGGCAGATGGCGTGGTAGCTAAGGCGCTAGACTCCCACATGGCTAACCCTGGTTTGTGTCCCGGACCTAGGGGCTTACCTTCTCACTCTCCCCTCCCCTTCAGTCAAATAGAAGAAAAAGAAGAAAAATTAAATAATTATTAAAAAAAAAAACAAAAAACAAAAACCCTCATGCCAGGCACATGTGCATGTATGCCCAAAATCCTGAGAGGACAAAGGATTGTGGGATTGTGGTGTGGCCATCCCCCCTGGGGAGTGATTTCTTGCTTTCTGTCTATCTGTCTCTCTCTGTCTCTCCAGTGAGTGCATGCACCCTATAGCAAAAGTCTCTCTTAAAAAAACAAAAACAAAAAAAGAGTTAGACATGGATTAAAATCATGGCATATGACTTTTGGCTCTCTGAGTCTGTTCTCCCATTTGGAAAAAGGGCTGATAACTTCTACCGCTAGGGTGAGTGAGCATTAACTGAGAGGTTGAGTGCATCATGCTTAGTGCTGGGCCGTCAGAAATGAGGCCAGAAGGTACTCTTTGGTTATTGACCTAGCTTTAAAATTCTCCAGATGTCTCTCTGCTAATAATCTATACCACATGGTCAAGGGTTTTTCCCAGCTTTTTCCTTCCATAATGAAATTTATTCCTTCAAAATAGATATTTAGGTCCAACCTTGTAGTGAGCAGTTAAGCTTTGGGAGCCGGATCCTGCTGATTGCAGTTCGGATTCTGGTCCTAGCAGCTTTAGGGGCACACCGGGTGTGCGTGCACATGTGCACATCTTGACAGGATGGAGAAATGGAGGAACAGGATTGCAGTGTAACCATCCTCACTGGGCATGCTCACTCACATGCGAACTTTTTTTCTCTGCCTCTCTCTTTTTTTGTCTCTCTGATAAGTATGCACATCCTGTCGTTTTGTTTTGTTTTATTTTTGCTATAGAGCGTGTGTGCTCACCAGAGAGAAACAAGCAAAGAGATAAGAGGAGGAAAGTGAGAAATCATCTCCCAGGAGGATGGCCACACCACAGTCCCTTCTCCTCCATTCTTATCTCAGGATTTTGGGCACACATGCACCTATACCTGGTGTGATTTTCAAGCCACCAGGTCTAGGACTTGAATCATACAGCCATGTGGGATCTAGCTGCCTTAATTTCCATGCCACCTGCTGGCCCCTTCTTGTCAGTTCTTTTAAAAATAAAGTAAAATAGGGGGACCAGGAGTTAGTGTAATGGCTATGTTGCTGCACAACCATGTAGCCGACCGCGGTTCAAGCCCTGGACTCAGTGGCTTAAACTCAAGCCAGGCGCGTGTGCGTGCGTGCCCAAGATTCCGAGAGGAGAATGGAGGAGAAGGGATTGTGCGGCGTGGCCACCCCCCTGGGGGTTGATTTTTCACTTTCTATCTCTCTGTCTGTCTCTGTCTTTTTGGTGAGCACATGCACCCTATAGCAAAAACTTCTCCCCCCCCCAAAAAAAAAAAAAAAAGTAAAATAGAGACCAACAGTTGGCGTAATGGCTATGTTGCTGGACTCCCATGTAGTCGACAGTGGTTCAAATCCTGGACCTGGTGGCTTAAACTCACGCCAGGCACATGTGAATGCAGGCCCAAGATCCCAAGAGGAGAATGGATTGCAGCATGGCCATCCCCTGTGGGGGGATTTTTCGCTTTCTGTCTCTCTGTCTTTCTGGTGAGCGCACGCATCTTATAGCAAAAACCTCTCCCCCCAAAAAATAAATAAAGTAAAATAGATACTTAGTAGATTTTGGAGTTTGTTTTGCCTTTTTGCTGATAAACTAAGTAAAACTGTTAAGTGCGCTTTATAATAAGGATCATGTTTAAGGTCTCCGTTTTTGGATGAAGCTTGTATATCGTCTTTTCTTAGTAACGTCCGATTGTTTCATTTCTCTAGGTGTCATAGCTTCTACAGCAAACGCTACTCCCGGGCTCTCTATTTAGGAGCCAAAGCCATTCAGCTGAACAGTAATAGTGTTCAAGCCTTGCTGCTTAAGGGAGCAGCACTTAGGAACATGGGCAGAGTCCAAGAAGCAATAATCCATTTTCGAGAGGCCATACGGCTTGCACCATGTCGCTTAGATTGTTATGAAGGTAAGATATAAAATTTAGATGGTTAGTGTGAATCCATAGCTGTGGCATTAGAACCCAGAGGGAAGGTTTCTTTAGGCCAGAACTTCCCAGGCTGTTGTGCTTTAGAATCGTCTAGGAGAGCTTTTAAAAATCCTGATGCCAGGTCACATTTAGGTGGGAATGTGCAGGGTTGGGAGGTAGGCATCAGTGTTTTCAAAGATCCCGGGTATTGCCAATGTGTAGGTAAGTACTGCGTTATGTATTCGATATTCATTTAAGGCTTTAATTAGATGTTCACCACATACTTCCATAATCCATTTTTCTGGTCTTGAGTTGGTGGGGAAATGGTTTTGTTGTCCCTTTTTTTCCCAGGTCTGACTCACTCATTAATGTGAATCTCTGTGCTGGGCACTGTGCCATGTCACTCGGTTATTCCTTATTCTTTACAGTCATCTTCTCTTGGGCTGGAGGTGGTACTCACAGGGTAACTCCATTTCCATACGAGTGTTGGTTGTGGGAATCAGTCTGTTCATTGTGACCTTCAGAGTGGGTACCAGGCCCAGCTTTGTTTGTTAGGTCATATTTTAGGTTCATGTGAACTGACCCTGGGAGTTTAGAAGAGCTGTGCCAGCTTCAGCAACATTTGGTGACTCAGTCACAGACATTAAAATAGATCTTAGAAGATGCAGTTCCTCCAAAACATATTTTTATAAAAATTTAAAAATAAACCTAGAAGCCTAGGAATGATTTGCTTGTAACAGGAAGATGAGTTCAAATTGGATAAATAAAATTTGGAATTCAGGGGAAAAAAACAATCTGCTTATAAAGCCAGAGAACTGTTGTGCCTGTTGTGGATTTGTTGGGGAAAAGAGAATTGTCTTTGTTTTAAAACTCCAGTAAGCTAGGCCTTTGGTGTCAGATTTTTTTTTTTTTTTTTTTTGAGAGAGAGTTTCACTATAGGATGCATGCGCTCACCAGACAGACAGAGAGAGACATAGAGACAGAAAGCGAGAAATCACCCCCCAGGGGGGATGGTCACGCCTCAATCCCTTCTCCATTCTCCTCTCAGGATCTTGGGCACGCACGCACACGCGCCCGGCGTGAGTTTTAAGCCACTGGGTCCAGGACGCACACCGTGTTCGACTACGTGGGAGTCTAGCGACATAGCCATTACGCTAACTGCTGATTCCCCAGATTAAAATTTTTTTAAGAATTATTTTAACTTTATTTATTTTAATTTGACCAGAGAAAGACAGAGTGAGAGAGAGACAAAGAGAGAGGGAAAGTGAGAAAGCAAGCTGCCAAGTCCAGGACTTGAACCACAGGTGGCCATGTGTGAGCCTAGCGCCCTTAACCACCATGCCACCTGCTGGCCCCTCAGATTAAATTTTTTTGATCTTGAAATGAACTCCCCTAGCTTCCCAGGTACTTGTATCACAGGAATTCCATTCCGCTGCATGCTTACTCTTTCAGAGCATGGGGATTAGCTGAGTAACTCGCGCCACATGCTTGGATGAGGTCGTTCCTCGCTGGCCCATGAGTATCACAGGCTACCTTCCCTCAAGCTGCCATTGGAGCTTCTGATCAGGGTGACTGGATAGGCTCGCTGGTGCTTCTTGCAGTCTCCAGCCGGGCTTCTTCCTCTGCACGGGGAGGCTCTAGGTTAGTGAAGTACATTCTTTCGATTTCCTCCTGAAGTCCACTGGGGCTCTAGCAGGGAAATAAAAACCAGTCAATAAGTAGTTGCCAGCAACTGTATTTGGAACCCAGCACGCTGCCTGTAAGAGTTAGGCAATTTCTGGTTAAGTGACCAGTGTGTGTGGAAGAGTGTGCCTGGATGTTAAAAACGCTGCTAGGGCAGAGGAGTGTGCCATGGTGGAAAAATCTGCCAAGGAGTGTGTGGGTTTGGGGTTTAAGCTGTTTTTCTGTTTCGATGACTACTTTGTGCCAAAAAGCTTTTCCTCTTTTCTCCTCAACTTCTCAGCATGAAGAATTGAGGATCGACTCTTCTCAAAGTGGCCCTGTAAGGTGTCTTGCTGTGGGTGTGGAATGAGGCAGCAGCTGCCAGTCTCTCTGTATTTGGTCCATTGAGTGCTCTTCTTTTAGCTCAGGAAAGCCCTCAGCAAATGTACCTTTTGAGATAACATTTATATTTCAAGTGAAAGAGTTTCGCTTTCTCCTTTGATTGCCTGGGATAAGGTCTTTTTTTTTTTTTAAGAATTTATTTAGGGGCCTGCAGATTGCGTAATGGTTAAGGGTGCTGGACTTGCATATGGCTGACTGCAGTTCAAGTCCTGGATCTGGTGGCGGCGGCTTGCTTCCTCTCTCTCTCACTCTGTCCCTCTCTGGTCAAATTAAAATAAATAAATAAATGGATAAATAAAGTTAAATAAAATAATTCTTTTAAAAAAGGAATGTATTATTTAGTTAGCTCTATTTGTTATTATTTTTTAATTTGACCAGTGAGAGAGAGAAAGGGAGAGCGAGAAAACAAGCCACCAGGTCCAGTACTTGAACTGCAGTAGGCCATATGGGAATCCAGCACCTCTATCCACCACACCACCTGTCAGACCTGGCATTAGGTCTTTTAGTTCGTAGAACGGGACGTGCACTCTGGACTGTAGGAGGCCTCCCTCTTAAACTGAAGCCCGGTCGAGCATCCACAGAATATGGGTTGGTTACAAGGCCACAAAACGAGAACATCATTTCTCATTACATGAATCCCCTGGACATACAACAGGTATTGTCACGTTTGTCATAGAGGCTGCCCACATGCATGCTTATTTCCTTCACTGACTTAAAGTGCCTTTGAAGGGCAGACTTTTTTCCATATCCATCTCATACTCTGGGGAAGATCCTTTCTTAGGATTCCATCAACATATCCTCCAGCCTACTTACATCAAGTTTTCCTCTGGGCTGCCTTTGTCTGAAACTTTGAAGAATTGCAATTTGAGGGCTGTCAGAGTGGAAGCATGGCTTGGAATGGTAATGTGATTGAATTTCTTGTGCGTTCTGTGTTTTCAGGTCTTATCGAATGTTACTTAGCCTCCAACAGTATCCGCGAAGCAATGGTAATGGCTAACAACGTTTATAAAACTCTAGGAGCGAATGCACAGACTCTTACCCTTTTAGCCACTGTTTGTCTTGAAGACCCAGTGACACAGGAGAAAGCCAAAAGTTTATTAGATAAAGCCCTGACCCAAAGGCCAGATTACATTAAGGCTGTGGTGAAAAAAGCAGAACTACTTAGTAAGTATCTTACTGTTTGCCTTCTTCATCATTAGTTTTTATAAAACCTGATCTCAGTTGGACTTCAGACCCAGCTGATTACAGGTTAGCAGACAAATGTGTGCCTTTTGCAGCAGGGCAGCGCCTTCTTGAGTTGGTTTATATTTAGCACAACCACATGGAATTGGCTTAGACTGCTTGGGTTAGCTCAAACCAGCTATAATTGGTTGGTACCTGTTCAGCTCATTTTTGTCTGCTTTTAATCATCCTGAACTAGTTTGAGCTTAGTCTAACTAACTGGTTTTAGCCAGTTTGAACTATTTTGAGCCATTTTAATTATTATTATTATTTTTTGAGATATAGGGTGCACGTGCTTGCCAGAAAGACAGAGAGACGGGCCGGCAGCTGGCATGGTGGTTAAGGGCGCTGGACTCCTCCACATGGCCGACCATGGTTTGACCCGGCAACTTGCTTTCTCACTTTCTCTCTCTCTCTCTCTCTGTAAAATAGAAAGAAAGAAAGAAAGAAAGAAAGGAAGGAAGGAAGAAAGTTAAAATAACTCTTCAAAAAAAAAAAGACAGCGAGAAATCACCTCCCGGGGGGATGGCCACGCTGCAGTCCCTTCTCCTCTTGGGATCTTGGGCACACACACATCTGGCATGAGTTTAAGCCACTGGGTCCAGGACTTGAATCATGGTTGACTACATAGAAGTCCAGCGACATAGCCATTACACCAACTGCTGGTCTCAAGCCATTTAAATTCTTATATGGCTTCCCTTTTAGCCTTAGTATATATATTTTTTGGTCCTGATTTATGGTGAACTCCTGGGTTTGAGCTAGTTTGGCAAATAAAATGTAATTTGGCTTTTAATTGAATTAATATTTTAAAAAAGTTTTTTTTGGAAGATTTATTTATTTTATTTTAATTTGACCAGAGAGAGAGAGGGCAGGAGAGCGGAAAAGTGAGAAAGCAAACCTCCAGGTCCAGGACTCAAACTGTGGTCGACCATGTGGGAATTTAGTGCCCTTAACCACCATGCCACCTGCTGGCCCTCTAAATCAAGATTAAAGACTGAAATTTTAAACATCAGCCCTCAGGCTGCTCATTTCCTAGTAATAGGATTTTAGATGCATTTGGTCTCACTTTGTGTTGCACCACCATTTTCTTGAGGATGATTGTCTGATTGTGATAGTTGTATAGATAGCCATATAAATGACTTCAGATGGCAATATATTTTCAGAACATCGAAGTGGGACAGTAAGGATTTTTTTCTTTTCAGGCAGAGAGCAGAAATATGAAGATGGAATTGCTTTGCTGAGGAACGCACTGGCTAATCAGAGTGACTGTGTCCTGCATCGGATCCTAGGAGATTTCCTTGTAGCTGTCAATGAGTATCAGGAAGCAATGGACCAGTATAGTATAGCACTAAGGTAGGCACTTAGCCTCCCGTGGGGTAGGTTGAGGAGGAGGGTAGAGGAGGCAGGTGACCGTGTAACAGGACTTCTGAAACACACACGCCCTTTGTGCCCCCTGTTGAAAGCAGAGTAATGATAGTGATGGTAGAAGAGTTACTTGTGAATTTACGAGTTCTAAACATTTTTACTTAAAGTATATTAACAACACTAAAGAGCTAGTTCACTCCTAACCAGCTCACACCACCGTAGCATCTGTGTTCATTTGTATAGGTCATCTTCTTGTCCTTGCCCACACATACACATATTTTTATAGGGTTATACCTAGTATATCTTTTCTATTCTGCTTTTTCAAATCAAAGTATTATAAGTACTTTCCCATGTTTCTACCTGCTGTAGTGTTTAAGAACTTGAGCTCTGAAGTTTGAATACTATCTTCACCACCTGTCATCTTGGGCAAGTTACTAACAAATTTTCTTGTCTATATCTATCTATCTTATCAGGTATTAAATGATTTAATGGGGATTAAATGATTATTCCATGTAAAACTCTTAGCACTGTGCCTGGTAATTAGTAAATACTAAATAAATAGTGGTATTCTTACTGTTTAATATAGAAGTGATTTCTTTGAGGGTTGTCTGTGTGTCTGTGAGGTCATGGTGAAGGGCTGTCTGTAATCGAATCTGATCACACCCGTTTACCTGTGCAGCAGACAGGTGAGCAGCGCTCCTATGCATGGCATCGCAGTGAGCACTGGAGATGCTGTGGTGCCGGGACTCTCCATCTCAGCTGTGCAGACTGCCACGTGCTAAGGCCTTAATTGCAGTCTGTAGAAGGCAAGATGGGGTACGGGGTGGGGGAGCCCTGGATGTGGAGGAGAGTTGTTTAGAGGGTTCTAGAGAAGACAAGATGTTTACAGTCAGTCTTATTCATGTGAATAGAAACGGCTGTCCAGCATGGGTTCTAGCTGCTGCTTCGAAGCCCAGAAGCAGTGAGAAAATAAATACCAGACTTTGATTAGAGGTGGGGTTTGCTGAGGCTGGGAAGCCTGCTTGCTTGGTGATGCGTCACTAAGGCGAGAGGAAAGGTTGCTTAGCAGCCGAGACTCTAAACTTCGGGGTTTGATGCATGTGATGACTTGTAGCTGCTGAATGTGAATGCCCAGGTAGGGTAGCCTTGGGTCCTGGGGTCTAACCTAGGAGGCTATAAATCTATTCCATGATGTAGCATGGTGTTTTGGGTTGAGTACTAAAATGCTGATATGTTTATGTTTTAAGAACATGGAACATTTTATTCAGAAATAATTATTTTTATAATTCTGTAGTTTGAAAACCCAGTACTTTTAAGAAATTACATTTGGATTCTTCATGAATATTTGTTACTTTTCATTTGTGTTATCTGGTAGCCTCCTCTAGCAGAATGCTAGGGGTAATAGGTGTGAAAAAATTTAATAAATTATGGAGACAACTCAGGTTAAGAATTCTAAAAATTAGGAAAAGTTGCCTTTTCTCATTTCTAGTGGTGACTCGCTGGATCCAGCCTTGAAAGCCGGAGCTGTCTGGAGAGGCCAGGCTCTAGCAGTTGCTCTGTGACTATGTGGTCACTTCACTGCCGGGCCAGGGAGATGACGGATCAGCCAGCAAGAAGCAAGGCAGAGATTCAGGCCTCTCCTTTGTTTTGTTGTCCCCTAGTTTGGACCCCAATGACCAGAAGTCTCTAGAGGGGATGCAGAAGATGGAGAAGGAGGAGAGTCCCACGGATGCCACTCAGGAGGAGGATGTGGACGACATGGAAGGGAGTGGGGAAGAAGGGGACCTGGAGGGCAGCGACAGTGAGGCGGCCCAGTGGGCTGACCAGGAGCAATGGTTCGGCATGCAGTGAGGGGCGGCTCAGGCCGCATGGGCCTCTCTGCTCTGAGCACTTCCGAGGACTGAAGGAGCCGTGGGACCTGCTCTCAGGAGGACAGTGATTCCACATGTGATTGCAGCAAGGCCAGCCCCTCACGCCCGGTTCTAGTTGGGACTTCGTTTAACAGAGTCTGACAAGCCCTTCGTCTGTCTCCACCTTCTCGTGTCCAAGCCAGGGGGCACTGAGGGAGCATTCTGAGGCCTGCACACATGCCAGGCTTCAGGGCAGAGTGCTTTTCTGTCTTTAATTCCTGTGTTGGAGAGCATGAGTAGTAGACAGTGTTTTGGCTGTGACCTGGATGACCTTGGAGGAATGCCAGCATCCCAGAGCCAGAATGTCATCTCAGGTCAGATAGCTGTACTGTCTGGCCCTTTCCAGTGGGTTCCCCCCTCAGAAGTCCTCATCCTGGGCTATGTAGACTGCCCCAGAAACCTTGCTTTCTTCTGCAACGTTAGTATGCCTTACGCTGACAGTTGCTATTTTGCATAACAGTTTTCCTATTTGCTAAGCTGGTATCTTGCCTCTGAGCTTGGGCTGATCCGAGAAACAGGTGTGACGAGAGCATGACCAGAGACGCACCTGGGGCAGTTAACCAATAAAACTGGTTTGTACAGTCATGGTGTTGGGGTGATGAGAACAGAAGCCCTTTTACAGACTCTTTCTTGGTCTCATTCAGAATGCATTGATTCAGCCCCAGAATTATTTGCCATAAATAGACTTCCTTTCTTCCCTTCATGTGGGGAGTGTTGGGTGCCGGGAGGGTTGGAAACCTCACATACCCTGAGCTGGTCCATCGTTTGCATTTTAGTTGGTAAGTCTCTCTGGGGCCTGAGTGTCTTCAGGCAGGTTTCAGACCAAGCCTGCCTGGCTTCCACTGGCGCTTCAAGGGGATTGGTGTCTGGTTTGAGCATTGCTTGGGGCCCGCCTGGAGTGTTAGGGTTAGGGTTAACCCTAACCCTGATCTCAGGACCTGGAAGACTGCACCACCATCTGCCCCATAGATTCTACAGTGCAGTGCCTTCCGAGTACACAGTTAAAAACAAAATTGGTTTTTCTTAAAGCTGATTAAAACAAAATTAGTTGGAGGTCTTGCAAAATGTGAGTATGATGGAAATGGAAAGTTGTCTCCTAAAGTGTAAAGACACAGTAAGTGTACAGTAGTTCAGGAACTCACATCTGACAGTTGTGATTTAAATTGGGTAAAAATGGGCCAACAGGTGGTATGAAGGTGAAGGGGCTGCATCCCACATGTCTAGCTGCATGGTTCGAGTCTTGGACCCAGCAGCTTGAAAAATCACACCAGGTGCATGTACACATATGCCCCAAATCCCAGAGTAGACAAGGAGAAGGGATTGCGGCATGGCCGTCTCTCTAGGGGGTATATTCTCACTTTCTCTGGTGAGTGCCTGCACCCTGTAGCAAAAACTAAAAACAAATTGGGCAAAAATTACCATGAAAATGTCAAAGTATTGGGAACCAGCAGTTAGCGTAATGGCTATGTCGCTGGATTCCCACGTAGTCGACCGTGGTTCGCGTCCCGGACCCAGTGGCTTAAAACTCATGCCGGGCGCGTGTGTGTGCGTGCCCAAGATCCCGAGAGGAGAATGGAGGAGAAGGGATTGTGGCATGACCATCCCCCCGGGGGGTTATTTCTCGCTTTCTGTCTCTATGTCTCTGTCTGTCTGGCGAGCGCACACGCCCTATAGCGAAAAACCTCTCAAAAAAAAATGTCAAAGTTTTGGACCAGCAGTTAGTGTGATGGCTATGTCGCTGGACTCCCACGTAGTCAACCACGGTTTGAGTCCTGGACCTGGCGGCTTAAATTCATGCCGGGCGTGTTTGCATTATGCCCAAGGTCCTGAGAGGAGAGTGGAAGAGAAGGGATTGTGGCAGGCCATCCCCCCTGGGGGTGATTTCTTGCTTTCTGTCTCTCTGTCTTTCTGGCAAGTGCACGTGCCCTATAGCAAAAATAAATAAATAAACTCTCCAAAAAAAGAAAAAGTCAAAGTATGAACCCCAAAGCCTGTGTGGCATCAGTTGATCTGAGCTACTTCTAAGGAGCCCAGCAGGTGGCTAGGGTCCTATGAAATGCATGTGAGGTCAGGAGGAAACTTGCCCATTGGCCTCAGGGGTCTTCCTCAGATGCAGGCTCATGAGCTCCTGAGCTCCATTACCAGGCAATGCATTGAGAGAAGAGGCAAGAACCTCTGCATTTTCCCTCATTCTCAAAGGAAGCCTGTCAGGCTTGACGGCCAACTCAAAGCCACAACCCCTGAGCCTCCCACTAGATCAGGATGTGCCTCAGTGCCAGGCCCTGGGCATCACATCTGTCAGCCTATTGTGCCCTTCGCCTCTCCTTGGCATGGCCCTCACCTGTGTTGGGAGTCCCTGGGCCAGCGTGACCTGCCCACTTCAGGCCCTTCCCACCTGTGGCTCGGGCCTCAGTGACAGCCAAGCTAGAGGAGGTAGTTGAAGCCATGTTTAGAGCACCCGCACTCACAGGACTGGGAAAACACTGGGACTAGATCAAAGAGTGAGAGCGCTTTACCTTGGAGAGTGCTCAAGGCCTCAAGTCACTGTCACTTTCTCAGTAATCTAAGAGCAGGGAGGCCCAGGAAGCAGGGCTTGAATCGGCTGCACACCTGTGACTCCCGTTGAGTCACCTGTTAAGAGAGCAGGCAGCAGACCCGGGACAGCCCCCTAGTACCCACCACAAGCACCTTCCAGGGTCAAGCCTCACAGGCAGGACGGAGATTTTTGGTCCTGGAGTCCTGTCATCACCCTGCCTTTCCAATGGCCAGAGGCCAGCTGAGTTCTAAACGCCCTGTTCTCAGAGAGCTGTGGGTCAGTGGGCTGCGTGAGGTGAGCCCTGCAGCCTGGGTGTCCCCCTCTACCTCCTGGGGTGAGGATCCCATGAGCCCCGTAGGAGAATGCCAGCCTGCAGGTCCTCTGGAGCCCTCTTACCGCTTCCCCCTGGAGCCTCTCAGCTGAGCAGGGAGGCAGGCTCTCCAGTTGGGTGCTCCCTGCCCTTCCGTGTGGATTCTCCAATTCAGAATCCCTCCCACGTGCCAGGGTCCTGGCAGGCCTGGGCCTATGGGCCTACTCAGGGCTGGTGGCCGGAGCCCTGCCTGTCAGCTATAGCTTGGGGCCACCCTCGTGCCTCTGAAGTCTTCCTCGGAGGATGATGCCAGCCTTTGCCCAAATCTGTAATTGTCACACTTGATTCTTGGGGCCCAGCAGAGGGCCAGGCCCAGAGGCTGAGTCTGCATCCTTTCCACCCCGACCCATGCTCCTCAGGCGCTCCCCAAGCTAGAGGAGGGCGGCAGAAGCCAGGCCTGATCTCAAACAGCACCTGTGGGCCTCGCTCTGCAGCTGCCTGTGTAGGGGACGGGCTAGCCTCAGTCCTCCCTGCGCCTTCTGTCTTTTCCTGGGGCAGGCCAGGGCCTGCGCAGAACCACTGCCCAGAGCTCGCGGTGGGCTCTAGAGCCTGTGCTCAGGCCTGCTCATGGCACTGGCACATGCCTGCTGTGTCCTCTGGATTTGACATGTACCTTACTGTGGTCTCTGAGGACAGCAGCCTTGGCCAGGTCACCAGGAATCCCTGGCACTGGGAGAGCTGGCTGAGGTAAGTGTCTCACTAAGGTTTTCCACTCCCGCAAGAACCTCCCTGCCATGGGTTGGCAACTGGGGCCTCAGCAGCCACCTCCCCTTTCAGGCACAGAGGGCAGGCTTGGCAGACCTGCACAGCCGGGCACACCTGGGCTGCCACTAGTCAGGGCCCTGGTGTGGTGGGGTTTTCCCAGGTGGCTGTGGATGGTGTCACAGCACAGAGCGGGTCACTTATTTCACAAACCACGTGGGACCAGCAATGCTAGGAAGAAGTAGAAAGCCCACAGCTCAGCCTCCATTAAAAGAAGACACTTGAAAAATAACAGATTAACAGGGCCAGCAGATGGCGTGGTGGTTAAGGCGCTGGACACTCCCACATGGCCGACCATGGTTCAAGTCCCGGACCTGGTGGCTTGCTTTCTCACTCCTCCCCACCCCCCATGTCTCTCTCTGGTCAAATTAAAAAAATTAATGAGTGGATAAATAAATCATTTTTAAAAATAACGGATTACCCTCATGGTTGCTGGTGGACTGTAGGATGGTGTGGCCACTGTGGCAGACTGTGGCAGCTGGAACTCTCACACCGGGTTAGCCCGTACCCAGCAGTCTCATTTCTTTTCTTTTTTTTGGAGAGGTTTTTTGCTATAGGGCGCGTGTGCTTGCCAGTCAGACAGACAGAGACAGAAAGTGAGAAATCACCCCCCAGGGGGGATGGCCATGCTGCAATCCCTTCTCCTCCATTCTCCTCTCAGGATCTTGGGCACGCACACACACACACCCGGCGTGAGTTTAAGCCACCGGATCCGGGACTCGAACTGCAGTCGACTACATGGGAGTCCAGCGACATAGCCATTACGCTAACTGCTGGTTCCCCCTCCCCGGCAGTCTCGTTTCTGAGTATATGCCCGAGCGAGCGGATGACAGGGACTCAAGCAGGAACTCATACTCTCCTACCCGTAGCAGTGCCATTCATGGTGGCCGAGGGGTAGAAGCGAGCCTCACGTGGTCAACCTGTGGAATATTCTTCAGCCTTAGGAAGGCATGTGCATGCATGCCCAAAATCCCGAGAGGAAGGGAGGAGAGCCATGCACATGGCTTTGAGAATGTCATGCTAAATGAAAAGCCAGTTGGGAAGGACAGGTGGGGTAAGATTCCACTTTCCCAGGTAGAAACACGTAGATTCCAGGTGCCAGGGGCTGAGGACTCAGCGTTTTATGGAGACAGAGGTTCAGGGTGGGTGATGAGAAAGACTGGGAGCCCCAAGGAAAGCCATGGCGGCCCCCTGTTTGGACTTAATGCCATGATCTCTACACAGCTCAATACCCTGCCCGTGAGAGAACAGGCGGCCCCCAGCGCACCTGGCCGCGTGAGGTCGCATTCCTCCCTCGCCGGATTCAAGAGCTGCAGACCGGCAGGGGCTGTGCGTCACACAGCCGCGCTCTGGCCACTTAAATCTTCCAGTGTCTGTCTCTATAAACAACCCTCTGGTGACCTCCTTTGCGCTCACAGCTTTTTCCTTCTTTGGGCAAATTCCCAGCAGGGGGATTTCAGAGTGAGAGTTTAATATCTTTTCTGGAACATTCAAGGAGGCTGGCTGGGTTGTCCTCTCTAGGCAGTGACTCTGCACGCCTAGGCTGGCCCTGCAGACTCCCTCATCTCAGGTGTGGCCCCCCTCAGCTGCCCCGTCTACCCAAGGAGCCTACCCATGGGCTTCAGGTCAGGGGTGAACCAGGAGCTCCCCAGTCTTGAAAATGCCTGCCCCTCATCCGTTCACCGAGAGACACACGGATTATTCTAGCCTTCGCCCCTTGCTTCCTCAGTAACGTCCCACTCCAACAGTGAGACACGGCTCCCACCCTGCTGTCTATCCTAGCATTTTGTTATTCTCAAAACCTGTCTTATCAGAAACTGAACTTTCCTGGGACCAGCAGATGGCGTAATGGTTACATTGCTGGACTTCCATGTAGTTGACCATAGTTCGAGTCCCTGATCCAGTGGCTTAAACTCA